TTTAGATAGCTTGGTACAAGCATTGGAAACATGTTTTTCATGCTTGCTTCAAAAATAAGCAAGATAACCATAACATGTGATTCAAAATCTAAGTTGTTTGAAGTCTCATGGTTGTGTATTGTTAGCTTTTCTTTTTATTTCTCTCACCATTTTCTCAGAGAGTTCCAGATCTTTATCATCTTCCTCTTTATCTTGGTTGATAGGAGCATCAAAATTATATCAGATTACAACAGTAGCATTATCGGTGGTTTTGAGCATGAATTTGCATACTTATCATATTTTGGCGCTGATTTAGTATATGAATATTTGAAAATGCATATGCAAAGAAAGTATTGCCATTTTTAAATTTGAGATATAAATGCAAGAGAAAGAAAGGGATCTTAATTGAAAACAAAATATAACTTTTATTAATCGTAAATATTGTCCGAAACAAAACGGGGAACCCTTACAAGCAATCCATATGCCTCGGGCTTGACATAGGTTCTTTCAAAAACAAAAAAAAATTAATTAGGAAAAAATATATCTCAGGAATCTCCACGGCCGTCCATCTTTTGAGTTTTCCTCCTGGGGCGCATTCTCAGATGAATTCAGTTTCCCCTTTGGTGTTAGCCTTGTTGGATATCTTCGCCACATGTCCGCCACGCACTACTCCATTGTTGACAAAGGTCTCTTGGCTTGGAGGAAAATGTGCTTCTCCCTTCAAAGAAGCTTTATATTCTTCTTCAGGGTATTTTCTGAACTGGACTATCCCCTGGTCCCCTAGCATTTGTGGAGCTCTTTCGAAAGCTTCATTGTGTCCTAGCGGGAGTCCGTATCCCAACAGATATTCTTTCAGTGAGTTCGTCGGGGTTTTTGCTTGTCTTCTTGCCCCAGAGTAAGTGACTATTTCGATTGCATTTATTGTTAACCCATCGTGAGATGGCGTGGGGTCTGATGTGATGTTGGGCTTCTCGAAAGTGATGTCTTAAGAATCCAACAAATCATGCACCTTGTGTTTGAAAGGCCAACACTGTTCTATGGTATGTCCAGGAGAATTAGCATGATACTCGCATCTAGTGTTGGCATCATATCTTTGTGGGAGTGGCCCGACTGGAGGAGCTAGAGGCTTGAGTTCCACTAAGGATACCTTAACTAGCTGTTGTAATAGCTGACTGGGTGGCATCGGGAGTGGATCAAATTTCCTAGGTGGCCTTTTGCCTTGCTGCTGCCCTAGTGGGGTCACTAATGGTTGTTGTACCCTGGATTGTGACGTTGAAGCATTAATTTCTCCCTCTTTTCCTTTAGGGAAGCTTGAAGCAGAACATTTTGAATTGTAGGGAGCATTTGATGGTCCCCCTGATATCTTCCCACTTTTTATCCCGGTCTCGATTCTTTCTCCGATGGTCACTAGTTCTGAGAACCCCGAAGAGATACTTCCAACCATCATCTGATAATACAGCACGTGCAAAGTCCCCATGAACGTGTCTACTAACTCCGTCTCTAACAATGGTGGTTGCACACGGGATGCCAACTCCCTCCATCTCTGAGCATACTCCTTAAAGGACTCTTCTTTCTTCTGGGAAAAATTCGGGAGTTGCATGCGGGTAGGCACCATGTCCAGGTTATATTTGTAATGCTTTAGGAAAGCATTAGAAATATCTGCCCAGGTTCGAATATGCGTTCGCTCCAATTGCATATACTAGTCTGAAGATGCCCCACTCAGGCTATCTTGAAAATAGTGAATCATCAGCTTCTGATCGTGGGCATGGGCATGCATCTTCCTGCAATACATGCGGAGATGATTTCTTGGGCAAGTGAGCCCCTTATATTTTTCAAAGTCAGGTCCTTTGAACTTTGGTGGAATCACCACATCAGGAACTAAGCCCATTTCGAGAGCGTCTACTTCTAAAGCGTCGAAACCCTCCACAGCTTTTAGTTTTTCCTCCAGAGCTTTGTACTGATTCGTCACTAGTGGATTATCAACAACATGAGTACCAATCGTCTTTAGAGGCGCTTGGTTGGCATCCTCTGGGTCGTGGTCTTTGTATTACATGTCCTAGTAGTTGTCTGCATTATTGGTCAAAATCTGCAGGGTACGAGGTGCCCCTTCTTTTGGCGGCGGTGGGACAAAACCTTCTATTTCATCTTCTTGTTGGGCTATGACGGACTTCTGGAGTCCTGCCTAATGACTCTTTCCTTGGTTGGTGACTGCTTGATGCACCAATAGTCTGGGCTAGTTCCTCAAAAGCTGCCCTGGGAATCTGGTCTTGCCTGTCAATAATGTTCTTCAAAGCTAGAAGAACTTGACTCAGATCTCCTTTCATTAAAGTGACATCACCCTTTACTTGGTCGAGATCCTCTTTGAATGCAGCCTGAGTTTCCTCGATTTTCTCCATTGTTTTCTGTTGATAGGCCCTGGTTTGATATAGAGGCCAAGGAAGTGGCAATCTTCTTCTGCCAATGGTTCAGCTAGAGAGATGTTTGTGAAAATGAGTTTTGACATGATATGCAGGTGTTCGTAAATGCATGCGTGCGAATGAATATGCATGAATACGAAAGGGGTTAATTGTCTTATTCATTTGGGTATGTATCCGTATTTTTCTTATTGTTTTACTTAGCGACTATCTTTAAAATAGATACGCAAATGAGATGTGGAAACAAAATGCCTTTATTGAAAGTAACGTAATTCAGATATTGAAAAATATTACAATCTTAAACAAAACTTTATTTGCGTGAAATCAAGCAAAAAGGAAATAATCCTTCTAGATGCGCCTGCAGATATCTGATCTTGAAACCATCCCCTATTGCTGGACAAAGCTTGAGAAAGTCTTCAACACATTATTTGTTATTTGTGGCCTTGATTTCTGACATGTTTGGCGTGTTGATGCAGGCAAGTTGTTTCCTTCAGTATCCATAGTCACCGGGATCTTGAGTTTATTATTATCTTTTATACCCCCTGTGAATAAGACAAATGTAGGTTGACGAATATATGAAATGCATGAATGCATGGGTGTAAGGTTGAGTGACAGGATTTTTGTAATAAGTACCCCTATAAGGTAGGGATGTATGGTTCAGTGACGGGGTTTTTGTGATAAGTACCTTTAGAAAGTAGGCTCCTTAATTTTGACCTACGGTTAGTCTACCCTCCCAAAAGGTGGTTTCCTTAAAGGTATCATGAATAACACCAGAGGGAAAAGGCACAAGAGCCTCCCTTAGGTGGAGCCTCTTTACGGACCGAAACATTTGTCTCAAAGTCGTGAAAGCTCTCGTCGTGAGATTTTAGGTTAAGGCCGTTACAAAGAGTCATGAGTGACCTTCCAAAGTCCTACTCGTCAAGAGGATATCTCTAGATAATATTCCTTTTTCGGAAGTTCACCAACTCTAGGCGAAGTCGTCATATAAACTCGCAGGGATGATGTACCCCCAAACTAATAGACGGGTCTTCTTTCTAAGGGTTATCGAAAATATTTTTTTGATATAAAAACCCGCCACATAGTAAATATATAATAATAAAGAAAAATAGACAAGAAAATTAAAAAAATGCAATAAATTAGAAATAAAAACCCAAAAGAGACCTAAAACCTAGGGTTAAGGAGAGTCCCCAGCAGAGTCGCCAGCTGTAGCGACTGGATTTTTAATCAAGAGTCGCCACTATTAGTTTTTATTCTAGGGAAGAGAATCTAACAGAAAACCCTAATTTGTAGATAGAGATTCTAGGTTTCGGGCTCAATTAGACGAAAGGAAGGTGTTAGGCACCTCATCTACCTTGTTCACAAGGATATTAGGCTCTAGGTTTAGGTTTGGGGTAAATAGGATTTAATTTTTAATTAGAAAGACTCGCCACGATTTTAGATCGTATGCCTACGTATCCTCTTATGAGGAATCAGAGTCCCAATTCGTAGTTCGTATGGGGTTGGTGTTTTTTAGGGGTTGCAAACATATTTTGAATCACCTCGCATTTTGGTCGGGAGTAATGATTGGGAGATTTTGACCAAATGCGCGGTAAGTCAAAATTTGTTTGAAAGCCTTTTGCAAAAACAGTTGATTAGATTAGTTGATTGTGAAAAATAGTTTGATGATTTGTTGCGTATTTTTTAATCGTATTAATTGAAAAATATCTTATTAATGCATGATAAAAATATTTTAATGCAAATAAGAAAATAATATATGTATATGAGTTTTAAAATAATTTATTCATGATAATATATATATATATATATATATATATATATATATATATATATATATATATATATATATATATATATATATATATATATATATATATATATATATATATATATATATATATATATATGTAATAAATAATAATGATATATAAAATATATTACTAATAATAATTAATATGATTATAAAAATTAATATTAATAAGACTTATAATTAATAACGATAATAACTATAAATGATAATAATATAACATAATAACAATAAAATATATATAATATATAATGTAACAGAAATAATTAAATTAAAATCAGGGGGGAGGTGTAATTTAGAATGGGTGCTAGAATAAGTAGAAGGTTAGAAACAAAGAGCCCCAAAATCCCAATCACTACAATAAACCTTAATATTAATAATAATAGATATTTGAAAAAAATAAAAACAAAAAAGAAAATGATGTAAAGGATAGGGACGGACTACCCATTGGAGCGAATGTTGATTGCTTCAAACATGAAATTCGAGTCACACGTATGCTGACAAGTGTAATGTAATATTCAAAAAAAATAATAAAATAAAAACATGGGCAATACGTGTGTACGTTAGCAAAAGTGACATAGCAGGCCTTAGTTTTCATCTTTTCTATCATAAGATGGTCTTCTTCATCTTTTAAGCAAAATCCACTTCTTCTCTCTTTATAATACAAACTCAAAAAACTACATAAATTTTATATATAAAAAAAACCAAAGAATATAGAAGAACCTAGTCTGAGATCTGTAGGTAATCAGAAAGGTTGCGGAGTGATTTCTCAGTTCAAGGTCGCGGCGGCGGATCAACGGAGATTATGGTTTCAGATAATGAAACCTCAATCGTCCTTCTCTCAGATCTTCAACCAACAACAAGGTTATTTGTTTTTCGGTGTTCTTCACGTAATCCCTTCTCCGTTCTTTTCTTTTTCGTCTTCTCTCTATCTTCCCCTGTTTTTCTTCTTTCTGCCAATATATATATAGGGATAGGAATTTAGGGCTTGTGAGAATTAGCATAGATTAGAGATTAGATTTGTTGTTAGAATTAATTTTAGGGATTGCTAATTGATTGAGAAAATATTGTAATTGATATAGTATTGATTGAGATTTGTACTGGTATTGTAATTGATTATGTTGTTAGATTTGTTTTGTAATGGAGATTGATTCTGCAATATTTTAATTGAAGATTTGATTTTGCAGAAGAATTAGATTTTTGTACTGTAATAGAGCTTGGATTCTGTTGCCAACTCACTGTAATAGAGATTGAGGTTTGATTGATACTGATATTGTTTTACTGAGATTGAATTTACTTTAGTTTTTAGATTTGATTTTTTTTAATAAATTTTTAGACACTTTTTGATGAAAAATGCATAAAATAAATTAAATATTATTATTAAAAATTGCCTAAAATAGAAAAACGAAAATAATATTTAAATAATAAAAAACATGATTTTGGGAAGATTTGAATGTAATTTGAAATTGAAATGAAATTAACAAAAATAGAATAAATCCTCAATCCAAATAATTAAAACGCAAAAAGAAATCAAAATTTTAAATTTATAGTTATTGTAACCAATTACATTGATTCTCTCCTAAAATAAATATTACTACCTAAAATACAAAAGATAACAAAATCTTTTTAAATCTTTTTGTATTTTAGATTTTTTGGTTATTTTTAGAATAAAAAGTGAAAAAAAATATAAATAACTATTTTTTTAAAATTCATTAATTAAAAATACGAAATTTAATATTTAAATATTTAAAAAATGATTTTTTTAATGATTTTTATAAATAGAAATAAAATTAATAACAATAAACAAAGAAATATAAAAAAATGTACCATGAGAGATTTGAACTCGTGACCTTATATTTACAAGCTTGTTTCCTTACCAATTGTATTATGTTATTTGTTTGAAATAAGAAGCTAATTGAAAGTATATGAAGACGAGCAAATATTTATTTATTCAAAAATACAAATGATCTGATATAGATCATTATATTTTTAAATAGGTTTCGAAGCGAATATTTTAAAAAACTCAGAATGTTTAATAAAATTAAATCAAAGGAATTTTATATTTGTAACACCCAAATTCAAAAATAAGTTTGACAGTAGCACTAAGGCGGGCAAATTTGGGGTATGACAGTCTCATACCTAGGTGAGTCTTCGGTAAAAGTAAGCATGGGTAGTGATTAAGTAAGAAGTTGTAAATGGGTGAATTTAGCTTCAAATTGATACTATTATAGTGAACTTACTCCCTAGCTTAGTAGCGTCCAGAGTAGGTGTTATTATACACCAAACTGGGTTAACAGTTATGTGTGCTCCTTTATTTTTTCAGTATTTTTTTATCTGTTATACCTTATCATTGTGTTTTATTCAGAGATCAATGTCTCGACATCTCTTAGGACATCTGAGATCTGACTGCTAGAATTTTTATCTGCAAATCACAAAGCAAATTAGCTTACAAATAAGAATCAAAAAGCTGAAATTTTTTCCAAATCTACAGCTTCAGTGCGAAGCTGATATCTCTCAACTCGGATCTTTTTTTGAAGATTCTAATGGTCAAAAGTTAAATATATGTGTTACGAACAAGTCCACCAAATTTTAGCTTGATCCGTGAGTGAACAAATCGGGTATCTTCATTTTAGTGAGACTGATGCAGAAAAAACGGAAATGAGTTTCTCTCTTCTTTTCTCTCTTTTGAATCCTTATTTTCTCTCTATATCTCTTAACCCTAAATTTACATTCTCCACTTATATAAGTGAGATAAATAGGATATTCGTATTTAGATCTTTCTCCATATAGGAAGGGAGTCCAAGCCTAACATTTTCTCCATTGAATCTTTGTTAGCGACATCAGACGATGACCCTAGAGCAATATTTAGGTAATAGGTGACATTCCCAATTTCCTCCTGTTGTACCCCAAAATTTTCCCTCTCATTTCTTAATACAATTCAAGACACCTCTTCATGCTCCTAGGGTTTTCGATTGCTCAAGGCTACTATATATTTGATTAGACAAATTCTCCTCTTAAGAAGTTGGCCTACAATTAGGGTTTCACTTTTCTCAAGGAAATTTGAGCTTACAATTCCTAAAGTGGATTTCATGGTTCCTCATATGTCTCAAGGAATTCTCATGCCAAATTTCAATTCTTGCATCACAAGTTTGCTCAGTCAATTGCTCAAATGATTGAAAATAAACTGTATTGGGTAAAAAGTCAATTGTGGTCAACATACAGTCAAAATTCAAGATTTTTGGTCATCATCAAGATTTTTAAGTCACATTCTTCATTTAATCAAGGGTGGATCATGATTCATCAATAAAACTCCCAATTTACCAAAAGTCAAAAGTTACCAAATTAGGATTTTCTTAAGGAGAATCCAACTGAACTTTGACCAAGCATAAATTCCACATGCTTCATCAAATTTTTCTCAACCAAAGCTCATTTTGAAGGAAATTTAATTCTCTACAACTTTGTGTCTATAAGCTCAAGTCCAAAAAATGCTTCATTTGACAGATATGGACCAAAACATTATAGGTCATTTCAAAAGTCAACAAAAAGACACTTTTTGTCAAGGCAACTTACATCAATATAAATTCTTCAAATGAAAAAATGATTAATATAGATATTGTAGAGGACATGTTTATCTTTCCAAAAAGTCCAAGATCACCTTCATATGATAAATATTGTGAGAGTTACCATTAGTGCAAGTTGGGAAATTTTGAGAAAAAGCATGAAACCCAAATTGATCAAACTTGAATGTTTGAGCTAATGGGCTTATGTTTCAAGGTCCATACGTGTTTTAGGCTTCATAGTGAACCTCTAAATCTATTCATACACCTCTTTGATTTTTATTCCATTTATTTTTAAATTTATATTTAAATTTGAAATTAAATAAAATAAAATAAAAGGCTTTCATACAAGGTCCAAGCCCAGCTTTTGTTGACCTAATTCATAGCCTATATATTCCTCATTTAGACAACAAAGAGGACATGAGATCTTGCAAGAAACCACCACCTTCCAAACTTCAAATTTTCTCAAAACTAGGGCAAACTACAAACCCTATTTGCAGCCTCTCTCAAAGCAAGCTAGTCATCTCAATCCATTTTAGGAGTGTTATAGGGTAAGAATGGATCAATCTTGATGATCTCAAAGGCCTAAAAATCGCATACATGCCTCGCCGTTTCTTGATTAGCATGAAATTCATATTTTTATTTTCATTGTGTTTTGAAGCATACTAACATCACTAATATGCTTCTGAGATGTCAATATGCAGGATGAACCCATCGCACGAGTTCCATAATGGTCGAATCCTGCATTTCCATGTTTGAACCATTTTATATTATTTGCTTCGTATCTCTTTGTACAAAGAGAATCAGCCAAAACCAAGGGCACCATTGAATTCACAAGGTCCAAATTAGGGGGGTCAGGTACCTTTGAACCACTAACGTTGCTTATTGTGCAAGAACAAAAAAGGAAGTCGTTGGAGAAGACAACCGGAGCTAGGGCTCTAGCGCCTCTCCAACCCAGTCCATTAAGTTTAGTATATGTTTATTTGTTTCCATTTATGGACCGAATGAAACAACCACCTTAGTGGAAAGCATGCGCATGATAAGACATTAGACTACCAGAGTGTGGGTTCGATCTATGTCTTTTGATATTTTGATGTTTTTTTTTCAAATTTTGCAATGTTTGCTTCTCTTATCACATTTTGCATAATGCCCATTATATTAACACCAACACACGTCTGGAACATTGGAAAGCTATATAATGCAAGAGGCAAAGGGCGTGGGTTCAACACCCACCCCTGGTACTTTCCTTGTTTTAATTTTTAACCTTTGGTTTTCATTGATTTTTCTTCCTCTATTATTTCTTGGCTAACCCTAATTTATTTTTCACTAAACCATTAAAAATAAACTTTTTTTATAAACCCTAATTAATTAGGTCTTAGGTTTTTTAATTAACATTTTAATAATTTAATTAATTAACTTTCCTTTTTTTCAATTTTAATTAATTAGATTTTTAGGTTAATCATCATCATAAATTTATTTTCATAAAAATCACCAAAAAACATTCTCTTCTCCCTTTTCCTACTCTTATTCTTTGTTTACATTTAATTTTCTTAGATAAAATGTATAGGTCTCACTACCGATTGTAATAGCGTAGGTTTATCTTCTCACATTTTCCTATTATGTAACTGCTCATAGGATGTAATAGCGTAGATTTACTTTCCCGCAATTTTTCATACTTATGTATATGCCTCAAAGCCATGTAATAGCTTAGGTTTAATTTCCGCACTTTAAATTCCGCACTTTATTTTCTGCACATATTGAACTGCCAGTAACTAGGGCTTGCATGGAAAGACTAATAATTGAACATAGAAAACCCTAATATTCAAGATAATATAACTGAATCAATACACTTCACACACTTGTACCTCTAGGGTAACCTCTCTTGTTGCCTTACGGTATTGGTCACGTCCCTAAAAAATGGGGATACTTTAGCAAAAGACCCTCGATCAAATCATCACGTCCCTTTCGAATAAATATCATAGTCTTTCGATGACCCTTAGAAGTTGCCTACAAAATGATCTAGTCCCTATGAGTAAATGATGATAGTCCCTCCGCTACAATTGCTAAAGTATCCTTACATGTTGCCTTTGATGACCCTACGCATGTCCCTTCACCTCTAATAGATAGAGCTACCTACCAACTAATGGTATGGATAGAAATATCTCTAAAGGAGAAGGAAAAGAATAATAAAGACTTTAGTGGGTAAGAAACTCTTAATTGCTTGCTCACAACTTTTCTCACAAACAAAACATTTTTCACACATCACTTTCAAAATAACAAATATTTTCAAAAATACTTTGTAAACATTCTTGAGGACTGATATAAGAATTATTACAAAGTTAGCCTTACACTGGAATTTCAAAATATTTTCAAACAAATCACACACACAAAGAAAATTTTCAAAAAAGAGCTAGCAATTAAGAACCCGTAGATAACTACGGGTGAAA